CTTGTGGGATTCCCTGGGGACCCCCGGGGGCCTCTTCGAGACACCTCGGGGCATCTCGGAGGCCCCCTGGGGGCGTGTTGGCCGCCTGCTGGCGGTCTCGAGGGTCATCTCGTCATCTCGGGAGCGGAGGGCTCGAACTGTCAGGTCGTGCTGTCCCTCTCGGGCCCTGTGTGGGGCGCTCCTGGGGCCGTCTTGGGCCGCTTCGAGGGCCTCGTGGGCCGTCTGGGACCGCAGCTGGGCGGGGAGGTGCTGCGTGTGACGACCTGGCACAGTCTCGGAGTAAATCTCTTCTCCTTTCCCTGCATCCCTTCCTTGATGCTTTCTCCCTCCTTCCTCCCGCTTCCCCTGTCTCCTTGTTCAGAAATAGATGCCTCGTAATCCTCCCCCGTGTAATTTCAGCCCATGTCTTCTCTCTCTGCCTGCCTGCCTCCTTCCTGCATGCTTCCCTGTCCCTTTCTCTTCTCTCCTTCCTCCGGCACCCGTCCTCCATCTTTTCCTTACTCCTCACCGTCCGCCCAGCGCACCCCGGATCTCCCCCTGGCTTCCGCCTGGGAGTTTACGGCGTGTCTTCCAGACGTGGGGGACGGAGTTTCCGGATCGCTCGATGCTTCCACGCTCCCCCACCCACCTGCCCTTCATCGCCGCCGTCCTTCTCTTTTTCTGTGCTGGTTGGCCAGGGGTAGTCTTAAGTCGGGCCTGTCCCTCTACAGGAGGGATGTTCAAAGATAGTCAATTACCGGACAGCTCGCCCCTTGGCCCCCCGCCAGCCCCACGCCAAGGGGCGAGCATATATACGGGCGCAGCACCTCGCTGGAGGCGTAGCCGTCGGCTGGGCCGACCATGCAGATGATGCATCGCGTGGCGGCTGGATGCCCGCGCCGAGCACAGAGCTCTTCTCGGTTCCTCCCTCCTCTTCCTCCTCCTCCTCCTCTTCCACCTCCTCCTCCTCCTCCTACGACTCCTCCACTTCCACCTCCTCCTCCCTTCTGCCGCCTCCTCATCCCGTCCGCGTCCTCCGCCCTCGAGCTGATCTCCCCCCCCCCCCGTCGTCCATTTTCAATGAAATCCTCCTCCCGCCGCCTCTTGCCTTGTCCTCCGCCTCCTTCCTCCTCGTCGGCCTCCTCGTCCAGCGCCTTCCTCTTCCCCTTGCCACTCTCCTTGCGAGCACCCTTTCCACGATCTCCGTGCCCTCCTTCCACCCCTCCTCCTCCCTCGTCCTCCTTCCATCGCCTCATCCCCGCCGTCATAATCCTCATCGTCATCATCCTCATCCTCATCCTCATCCTCATCCTCATCCTCATCATCATCATCATCATCATCATCATCATCATCGTCCTCCTCAGCATCAGCACCATGATCATCATGATCATCATCATCATCATCATCATCATCATCATCATCATCATCATCATCATCATGCTCCTCCTCCTCCTCCTCCTCCTGCTCCTGCCCCCTCCTCTTCGTCGTGGGTGCCATCTCTGCTCAAACTGCACAAGCCGCCCCCGTGCGAGAGCCCTTCCGCACTCTCCCGGTAGAAATTATGGTAGAAATGGCACCGGCCGTCGCCGCCACGATGATTGCGCAGCGTTTCCACCCTAGAAAGTGCTCACAGTTCCGCAGTGAAGTCAGGCAGTGACAATTGCTCAGCTGCTGTTTCGGCCAAGCCGCCGATCGTGTCCAGCACAGCTGCTTCGGGAGACCCCCGTTTCAGCAACAGCTCTGCAAGGACCGACTGAAAATGTCGAAGCGCATTGGCTTCGAGCGGTGGCCATTTCGCAGCTTCGTATTCTTTCCGTGCCAACAAAGACCGGCTCTGGTTGATCTTGGCCAACCGGTCGAAATTCAAGCCACGTTCCAAAGCAAGACCAGTCAAGGCAGGCACCCGAGACAAGACGGTAAACGTACCGCCCAGATGCATTTCCGTGTCGCCCAAGTTTGCAGCAACACAAGGAATTGTCATGCCCTGGGACTTGTGCATCGTGGCTTAAAACTGCCACCCGAAATATCCTCACCCGCTGGCTTAAAACTGCCACCGAAATATCCTCACCCGAGATATACTCACCCGCTGGCCTAAAACTGCCACCCGAGATATCCTCACCCGCTGGCTTAAAACTGCCACCGAAATATCCTCACCCGCTGGCTTAAAACTGCCACCGAAATATCCTCACCCGCTGGCTTAAAACTGCCACCCGAGATATCCTCACCCGCTGGCTTAAAACTGCCACGCGAAATATCCTCACCCGCTGGCTTAAAACTGCCACCCGAAATATCCTCACCCGTTGGCTTAAAACTGCCACCAAAATATCCTCACCCGAGATATCCTCACCCGCTGGCTTAAAACTTCCACCGAAATATCCTCACCCGCTGGCTTAAAACTGCCACCCGAGATATCCTCACCCGCTGGCTTAAAACTGCCACCCGAGATATCCTCACCCGCTGGCTTAAACCTGCCACCCGAGATATCCTCACCCGCTGGCATAAAACTGCCACCCGAAATATCCTCATCCGAAATATCTTCACCCGCTGGCTTAAAACTGCCACGCGAGATATCCTCACCCGCTGGCGTAAAACTGCCACGCGAAATATCCTCACCCGCTGGCGTAAAACTGCCACCGAAATATCCTCACCCGAGATATGCTCACCCGCTGGCTTAAAACTGCCACCGAAACATCCTCACCCGCTGGCGCTTAAAACTGCCACCCGAAATATCCTCTCACCCGCTGGCTTAAAACTGCCACGCGAAATATCCTCACCCGCTGGCTTAAAACTGCCACCCGAAATATCCTCACCCGTTGGCTTAAAACTGCCACCAAAATATCCTCACCCGAGATATCCTCACCCGCTGGCTTAAAACTTCCACCGAAATATCCTCACCCGCTGGCTTAAAACTGCCACCCGAGATATCCTCACCCGCTGGCTTAAAACTGCCACCCGAGATATCCTCACCCGCTGGCTTAAACCTGCCACCCGAGATATCCTCACCCGCTGGCGTAAAACTGCCACCGAAATATCCTCACCCGAGATATCCTCACCCGCTGGCTTAAAACTGCCACCGAAACATCCTCACCCGCTGGCGCTTAAAACTGCCACCGAAATATCCTCTCACCCGCTGGCTTAAAACTGCCACCGAAATATGCTCACCAGCTGGCTTAAAACTGCCACCCGAAATATCCTCACCCGCGGAAATAAAACTGCCATCTGACGGCCTCGTGGTTCAGTTCAGTCTGTCAGTGTCTACCTCGCGAGAATCAAATTACGGGCTGCGCCCGTAAAAAAGTAATAAGTTTTTTAGTTTTTTGTTAAATAGTTTGGAGCATTATGTTAGATTCATTTTTTTTGTTTTATATTTATTCCTCCCGAACTCGCCTGTAGGAGGACACGCCCGACCGAAGGGTCGTCCTGAGTCCGCGGCCGCAGCCTGCCCTGGCTCCACCAGAAATTTGGAGCGGGTGCTGCTCCGTCAGAGTGCTCGGCGTCCTCCCTTCGCATAGGGGATCGACTACAGAGTTAACTTCCCCCAAATAAGTGTTCGTCGACTCTTCTATTAAGTCGGGCGTGTCCCTGTACAGGAAGGATATTCAAAAATAGTCAAAAATATTATGGGGACGATTTGTCGATAATTTGTTTGACCATTTTTGAGATTTGCTCTAAGGTTTTTTTCGTGCAAAATCAGCCTGCAGGGGGACGTGTCCGACCTAAATGTACATTGTACGCATTGGTTTGCAGCTTCGACGAACGGACCAGTTTTGGGGCAAGTCGATTCTGTTCTTCGATCGCCCCTACTCGATCCCTGTCTCCTCCCTCTCCTGGGCCGCGCCTGACGCACGGTCTCGGCGGGCCCATCCCGGGCCCCTGGACCTTAGGGATCGGCTCGGGAAGGAGAGCTGATTCCGGGGATGGGCTCGAGTCCGTGCCTGGAGGGGTCCGGGCCTTCCCTCCAGCATTCCGCTGCCTCTTCCACTCCTCCCCCCCCCCCGCCCATCTCCTCTTCGTTCCCACTCCTTCGCCCCGGGTCTCCCCCCGTGTTTTTCGTTTCCCACTTCTCCTCCTCCTTTTCCTCGCTTCCGCGCTCTCGCGATGAGTGGCTCAATTCACTCTCAACTCATCTGCAGCACCGGCCGCCTCCAAGAGAGGTAACCCCTCCCTCCCTCACCCAAGCGCTGTCGCCCGGCAATGAAACTCGTCCTCCCCCTCCTCGTGCTCCCCTTCCTTGTGCTTTCCCCCTCCTCGTGTTGTGCTCCCCCCCTCTTTCTGCCTCCTGTCCATCCACATCTTGCTTCCCCCCTCGCCTTGGAATCCTGCGAATCTTGAGGATTTTTTGGGAATCGCTTCAAGGATTCCTACGAACCCTATCCTGAGGGATCCTACAAATCCTTAGGAATCCTTGTGGATCCCAAGGGAATCCTGAGAATCCTTAGAGACATCCGTGAGGATCCGTAGTAATCCCACGAATCTCTCGGAATCCTAAGAGATTCTTAGGACTCTTAGGAACCTGTGGGACCCCCAGCAGTGGCCGCTGCGGGAGATGGTTGTTGTTCCCAATATTGGTCTCGGTTTCAATCCGTGGATAAGCCCGCGCACAAAGGCCCACCTGGTCAGGTCATGACATGGGAGCCTTGCCTTTGCACCCCCGTGTCCACGCTGCTGACGTCCTGACTCGTAAGGACTGTCTTGCCTTGGGATTCCCACAACAATTATTCCCCTCACCCCTCCTCCTCTTTCCCCCTACCTCCCTCCCCATATTCCCGACGTCGTGTTGTTTTTTTGGGTTTGGGGGGGGCATCAAGTGGACCCCTGGTAGTCTTGATTCCTTCCCCAGGGCTGGCTTTTCATCCTGAGGTGTTTGCTTTTTGTACGGCCCCTGCTGCCCACCCAGCGAGGGCCCCTGGAGGTCGAACCGAGAGAGCAAGCGGACGCTGCTTCTCTTCACGTCGCGAGCATGTCTTGGTCCTCCTCCTCCCCCTTTCCTCCCTTCCTCTCGAACCACGGGACCGGCCGAGGACCTGCCGTCCGTCCAGGAGATGAAGGCGGAGCAGATCGGGTCGCCGTGA